TGGTGTATGATGAGTGGTGTATGATGAGTGGTGTATGATGAGTGGTGCATGATGAGTGGTGTATGATGAGTGGTGTGTGATGAGTGGTGTATGATGAGTGGTGTAAGATGAGTGGTGTATGATGAGTGGTGTATGATGAATATGATGAGTGGTGTAAGATGAGTGGTGTATTGTTGAGTAGTGTATGATGTGCGTGTATGATGAGTGGTGTAAGATGAGTGGTGTATGATGAGTGGTGTAAGTGGTGTCTTGATGAGTGGTGTATGATGAGTGATGTCTTGATAAGTGGTGTATGAACAGTTCTTGAATGTCCGTAACACGGAAGTTTCGTACACTAAACTTCCTTTGATAAAAATACAGAACATCGCCCATCCACACACCCACCCCTTTCACCCAGTATGGGTGAGCATTAAAATACGGAGACCTCCCAAATTGAGACGCCCTGCGCAAAACCATAGACCACCCATTGGTGGGGTGTCTCCTTATTCAAATACACCCATCTCAACGACGACTCAAGTGACATCCCACTCCGGCTTCCACCAGCATCTCGCCTGGAGTCTCAGACAGGCTGACGAAGCCGCTGCGCGAAACGGACTGATGTGGATCATTTCCAAGAATGAAATGAGGGTGACAAGTCGGTTCAAACAAATCAGATCCCGTGAATTTTGGCGCTTTCGCTTCAGCGCCTGAAGTGGGCAGCCAGATTAGGCGGCACCGCAATGGGTGGGTGGATGGCGGTGTTGCCAACGTTCACTTGTTTCGTTTGGTTTGGACAAATGACTCGGGGGCATATTTTTTGCATCTTGGCTTCTTCGAGAGAAGCTCTGTCTCAAGATGCAGAGATCTTTGATGTGACAGTCATGCCCCAGGTTGCAGTGCTAGAAGAGTCTTCGAAATCTCTCGAAACGGCTTCTGATTTCTGGGTCGGTGTCTTTTTGATAAACTATTGTCGGATCATGTTCCTATTGGGACGATTGCAGCTAGGGCTAAACTGACAGGGTCAGTTTGATTCCATTGCCCTTCGGCAATGCCATTCTTCGACCTGTGGGGTGGTCGTCAGTTCAGCGCATGTGACCGTGGGACAGTTGATCTAACTAAGCTTCGGGTCGCCCTGCTTAGGACATCAATGTAGCGGTCCCCAATAGATAGAATCGGTTCCCAAAACAGCGTTAATTATTAGATGACTATTAGTGGGATCTACTTTTCTATCTCTTTGGGGGTCTTTGTGATATGTTACCCTATTGTTACCCTCCCCTGGTGAGTAGTTAACCTTCCACTTTGAGGTGTGATTTTCCCGAGCACAGGCTGGCGGAGGTAGGTGTTATTAGGCAATCCAACATTCTGTGCACGACATTGAACCAACGCATCGACTGTCAAATAGTCGGGGCCGTGAACCAACACTAGATCTTTGCATCAAATCATCCCCTCGGCGTCCTTGACTGGCCAAAAGGTCGCAGAGGTCGTCGCCATGGGGCCCCGTAACGGAAGAAGATTGGACCCTGAAGCTTCCACCTGGATTATGATGCACCAGACCTTGGCCGTTGACCGTTTTGGACTCATGGTTTTGCCCCACCTGGAAGTCGGAATCCACCACTACACACCACTACGTTCGGGGTAAAAAACATGCCTTGGTCACGCTGTGCTGGATCGCGGTGTATCTTCTGGTTACGGAGTTCCCGTTGCAGAGGCCCCCGGTAAAACAGCAAAACAGTAAAATGGCAAAATGTCGAGCGCACACAAGCGTGGGGTAAAATGGTAAAACGGTAAAACGCGAAAATCTGCAGGTGACAGAAGCGAGGAGTAAAACAGAGAAACGGGAAAAACAGTAAAACTGAAAAAAGACGGTAATTTTACGAAAGTTAGCGATTTTCCGAAGGTCAGCCAAACTCATGGAGTGAGAAAAGTCTCACATGACGGAAAAAAAGCAATGCGAGCCAATCTTGAGTCGTCCACCCTAGAGCGAAAGCTGTTCAAAGCAAGAGTCTGCCCGTCTTTGGTTAAGTTAAGATATGTTACTGTAAGATCTAAAACCCGCATCTTCTCTTCGAGAAGGTGAGAAGGTGCGCAAACTTCATCAAGCTTTAGGCTTGGCTTGACAATGCGCAGGCCCTGAATCAAGTTGATTTTTGTGCTTTGTTTGCATTTTTGCGAATCTACGCGCCGATGTGAAACGAACAGCGTGTGAGCCAGCCTTTGCTGTTTTTGATGCACCCTAGGACACGACAGCACGCAGTAAAAGGGTAAAAACGCTAAATTTACCGATTTTACCGATGTACTGATTTACAATGATTTACAATTTACCACCTTTGCCCTGACGTGTGTAACCTCTTAGGCTGAACGCCCGCCGGGAGCTGGCTTCGCGTTCACGTCACCCCCCCTTGTGGGAATTCCCAGCCAACGCGTCTTCAATCTCACTTTTGGGCTCCAACATGCTCCAACGAACCGACATCTCTCGGCGTGTATCGCAGGAACATCCAAGCGGAGAACACAAACAGTTGCTGCGTGCTTTCATCATCAGCACATATCAGCACTCACCTGTTCACCAGCATGTCTTGTCGGACTCTCAAACCTTCTCCACACTACCCGCCTGACCAAAATCATGTTGTCCATTCAGGCCGCGGCCCCCGGCCTCGTCTTGCCAGGCTACTGTGCGGAAATCATAGTCTCCCTGAACTGCCTTGAGGACTGTAGCGACTCACTGTGGAAAGCGAAACCCCCACGGATTGGGCATTCAGGGGAAGGCAGGCCGAAGCTTGGTATGTTTGTGGATGGGCGCTGGATGGGAGGGTAACCTGATTGCAAGGCAGACTTGTCACAACCCACCTCTTCAAGCTCGAAAATTGGAGATTAAGGGCGCAGTTCAGCAAGCCAATGTCTTCCAGTGAAACATCACCAGGCTAAGCTGCCTAGAATTCGATGTTCATCCACACTCCGAATCCTTCCCGCATGAACATCTCAACAACGACTCCAGGGGATAAGCGTGAAAGTGCCTGTGCATGAAACCCTGCTCTGGCTCAGGAGTTGTGGCAGGTTCCCAAGGAGGCGGAACAGCGCGAACAGTTTGCCATGGCCAAACTTCAAATGCCAATGGGGCGCACCTGCGCCAGGCTTGGGCACCAACATTTGAGTCACCTGAGGAAGGGGAGTTATGTATGAGGAAAGAGAGAAGGCATGAAGGGTATCTATAGCAACCGAGTTTAACCAGTCTCATTGGGCTCAGCCAAGAATTGATGGTCATGGCCCTGGCCCTTGCCACAGGTCTGTGGTCACAAGAGCAATCGCGTAGCCTTCGCACGTGGCGTCTTTTTCGCACGTGGCTAGCTTGTGCCCGAAACTACGATTCAAACAAAGAAATTGCATTACAAAAAAACTTTCCAAGGTCCGAAAAGTTTTTTCTAAATATGTGTCTCTGCCACCGTTGAAAAACCGAAAACATGTTCAATACATCATACGAACCGAACCCCAACCGAACCGATCCCAATACATGTCAGCAATATATATCGAACAAAATATCGCAACATGTGCGAACCGAACGGAACCGAACCTAAACAGCCATGCAAACCGAGACCCACAGTGAAAAGGTCATGCGGACTACGTACATAAACCCGCACAGCATCATGACACAGCAAAATCAATCGAGATGGAAGCCGCTTGCCACGTAAGGCGTAAGGGAGGTGTAACAAGGACAAAGTTAGGGGACAGGTGGGGGGAAGGTGGCAGGTGTGGTGGGTGGTGGCTTTAAGGGTTCTATTATTCTCATGGTCTGGGAAGGTATTCAAGGCTGGTTGACATGGCATCAAAAAAGCCGCCATTTGCAACCACTCAGCCTTTCATCCTATATAGTCCTCAGAAGGGATAACTATCATGGATTGAATTGAACCATGTTGATGGCACATATATTCCTTGCAAAAAGGGTTCTTACTTCAAATAACAATGAGCTGGCTGTGCGCGCTTTCGAAACAGGGTGCCGGTGCTGGGTGCAGGTGCCGGGTGCTGGTGCTGGCTGTGGTGCTGGCTGTGGTGCTGGTGCTGGGTGCTGTGAGCTGGCTGTGCGCGTGGTGGAGGCAGCTGGCGAACTGCGGGGCAGTTGACTTTGGAGCCAACATGGCTGCGCACGCTCTCATTCCAAAGCTGTTCATGTGGTTGGTGGAGCTATGCCTCAGCGCCTGAAGATGATGTAATTTTAGAGTTTGACAAAGTGTTGTTTTGGAAGCGGATGTCGAAGGTATGCCGCTGTTTGAAAGTGTGTCATGCTGGCTGGGTTGCCAGTGCTGCTGGTGCTGGGTAGGCTTTTGGCATCCTGGGTTAGCAGGCTTTGGTTTTGATTAAAATAGGGGTTCTCCTACGCACCTTTTTTTTTTAGCCTGCGTTTTTACAGAATCGTTTTCTCTTACATATAAATTGTTAAGCTTTTTTTGTGGCAAACACCCTTTCTCTCTAGCTATGATGAGTGGTTCTTGCAAGGAAAGATCTTGCAGGCTGCCAGCCTTGCACGGCGCCAGTGTGGGAAAAGTTCACTTGTTTCGTTGGATACGATTGCTTCGCAATGATTTTGCTGGGCATTCCTTTTAGCTATCGGGGCAGGAAGTGGCGTATCGCCCTGAAGAGTCGGTCTTGGTGATAGAGGTGGGTCAATACGGTTTCAATCAGATCTATGCTTGAAGCGTCCGGTTCACAAACCATGTTTTTGAGTCGAAATGCAGCATCCCATAGATGGCACGCGCTCTTTGCACATGTTCCCTCCATGGGCGTGTTTCGAGTGAAAAACAGTTCCAGAAATATATTTTGCATGTTTTTGCTATTTTTGCTATCTGGGGTCTATCTATGCTGTCTATGCTGGTGTAATTCTTCCTTGGTGTCTTTGTTTCTTGGCCTTGTGTCCTTGGACTTGCTAAAGCATTGATGTTGAGGAAAGATCCAGCCATGTTGGTAGATGCCACAGGACCAAAGTATGAGGTAGGGAAACCGGGGAAGTTGCTGTTCTGGTGACGGTGGTGTGCTGGATTTTATTGATGGATTGGCAATGGTTTAGTAGTGTTTGGTGGGGGTGATGTTGTGGCAGTGTTGTGGTGGTGCTCTTGCTGGTCGCTGGGCGCTGCTTTAGTATTCTTTTGGTGGTATTTTAGTGGTGTCTTGGTGCCCTTACAGCGGTGTTTTGGTGGCGTGTACGCTAAAAACAAAGTGAGCCAGGGCATCTTCTGAAATGACCTTTCGTGAAAAAAACAACTCCTTAACAGTCTCTTCTACTGAACTGAAAACAAGTTAACTATTCTCACCCTGTTTACACACTACTATAAATATATGTATATATATATAATATATACAATATAGCAAGATATCTCTTTCCAGTCACTTTCATACACGATCAATCCTGTTAACCCGTAAATCCAAGACACTCCCATATCATCGTGCAGTTCTCATAGCTTGCCTTCACCAGCTGCGGCGCCCGCACGTTCGGCAGCGCGCCCACCGTGACCAGCGCCTCCTCACTGAGCGGCCCAGCGCCGTAGGCGTTCACCGCGCGGATCGCGAAGCGGTAGAGGCCGTCGGGCTGCAGACCCGAGACGTAGCAACCTGTGGCGCCTGCGGCTTGGCTAGGGACTGCAGGGTATGGTCTTCAGGGCTGGTCTTCTTCGGTTTGTTTGCCTTGCTCGTTCAGTGTGGTAAAACGAGGGGCTCTTGGACCGAGAGCCACAGCACAGCCGCTAAGAGAGGCGCAGGCACAGCCGCTAAGATACAGCAGAGCCTCTAAGTGTGAGTTGAGTTGTGTGAGTTAATGGTGTGTGAGGCGGCGGGCGGCGGGAGTCGCCGGGATGCAAAAAGAAAAGCAAGAGCCCGACACAAAGATCCAGGCTCTGATGGACAAAGCTAGGGTAGGGTCCACATTATGTCATTTGATGTGGACCCCTGCCTCCTTCAACCTGTCTTCACCAGGTTCCTGACCCAGCAGCGAAGAAGAGAACTCGAGCCGTCTGAAAGCACTTGGAGGGCCGGCTGGTTCGGCAATAAAGGTGTATGGTCACAAACAATATGTTTGAGATGAGAAATCCCATCATCATCACCATCACCATCATCAGCACCATCACCTCTCTCTGGAGCCCAGTGCGTCTAGATCTCTAGACCTTCTGCTTCTACACCTCTAGACCTTTATTAGACACGCAGTTTCGGGTGGGTGAAGACTGGACAGAGCTGAAATGAGGATATGAGGAGACTTGGGACGAAGGATTCCAGGGAAAGGTTGAACACGTCTTTGAATTCACCAACCAGGTTTGGCTATCTTGAAGTTTGGGTGAATGGTTTAGACATATTGGTCGCGCTACGACTGATTCCCTGGGTCTAGTGCAAAACAAAGTAAACAATGTTCCGTGGGGTGTCCCCAATTCCCAAACAGGGTCGAAGGCTATCCACTGACTGGTTTCTTGGAGTTTGTGTAGAATAGGTTACTGACCAGCTGAAATGAAAAGCCCTATACAGGAAACAAAGCAAAACATTGCGCCAAACGGAGGCACATGAACAACGGGGACTGGAAACCTGACCAGGAAATTGACCCTGTGGATAGGACGTCACTTAGGACGTCTAGGATCAACTAATGCATTGACCCTTTTGTTGCTCCTTGACAGTATGTTCACAAGCGACACAAATGCGCCAGGTGAAATAAGGTGTGGTGCGCAGGAAAAAGGGTCTGTGGCCACGGTGTGTGGCAAACTATGGCAGTGTTGTCCTTTTCCATGTGTTGTACTGATCATATTGCCCAGAACTGACGTGCGTTCATGGGTGTTGAAACGTGCGAGACTAAGCGAAAGCTGGACATGTCCAAAATGTTGAGACATTTCTTGAACAAATATCTAATATAACGCATAAAGAACACAACTGTCTCAATCTTCAAACGTTGGACACCAATCTTGCACCTTGAAACCCAGACCAATTCCTCAATTGGTTTCTGTGTGTTCTCACACTCGAGGCCCAGAATCTGAGGTCACGAAGTGGGCCAATAAGCTCTTTAAATGGTTGGTGCACGCGCACACACACACACACAACCGCGCCGGCACCCGCGCGCGCACGCACGAGACGTCTTTTCATCAGATGTTAGAAATCTATGCTGTTTGAGATTCCATGTGTGTAGCATCACTTTGAACACTGGGTACAAAATCCTGAACAATGAAAACAATGGCAGAGGTTGGTATTGGCGTAATCTTGACACGCACTCCAGTGTTTTTTTCTTGTTGGTACAAGTTATGTGCCTGCCTTAAACATCCTGAACAAAAGACCAAGGAAATGAATTGCCATGTTTTGTGACTAGCTTTCCAGAAGTGACGTGGATCTTTAAATCATGATCAGTGAGGGGGCGCTGCAAAACTCTTCGCCCCGCAAAACAAACAAAGTGCTACGAAACCAAGCTGTGACATTGGTAGCTTGATGGCCCCATCATAGCACATCACAGTACCATGGGATCAAATCAAGCTATGATTGGGCCGTGACACAGTGGTGATGGGATCAAACCAAGCCGTGATTAAGCTCATCATAGCTTGATTTGATCCCATCACCACTGCGACAGTGCTGATGGTTAAGGGCCTTTTTCCATGACATCTACAGCTCCAACTCCCACGTCTTGCTCGGCTCAGCCGCTCAGCCAGAAAACTCCCGTCTGCCAGGCACGGAAGGCTACTCCTAGGGCCTAGGGTCCTTGCGCAAGATTGAAGACGCTCCTCCGTCCTAGCGTCCTTGCTCCTAGGGTCCTAGCTCCGTCCCAGCGTCCTTGCGCAAGTGACGGGAGTGACGTGCCTGGCACCCGATGCACGGAATGCAGCTCGCAGCCGCTGCTGCAGTCCACTGCCATGCAATCCATGTCGCGCCAGGCGGTGCCCGGTCCATCGTCGCGCCGGAGCGCGTAGCCGACGGGGGTGCCACCATTCATGTTGGGCGGAGTCCATTCCAGGTAGATGGCACTGGAGAAGGAGAGGTTCCTGGGGGAATTCAACGCAAACGAGGAAGAAGTCGAACACCAATGTGATTTTTGTTGTTCTGCTTGGGATTGGGAAGCATTTCTTGGTATTCTCTTGGTTTGATAAAACCAAGGAGGTGCACCAAAAGTTGATCAATCTCTTCTGACCACCAACTTCTGGTATGTGGTGAATTTGGGGAGTGTCCATGGCCACTCTCATGGGCGTCCATTGACTTCGCAGACCAGTCTGGGCTTTCGTGGGTGCGGGTTCCAACCGAGCGGTCCGCTCGCGCCGCTGGGGCGCAAAGCGCCCCAGGCTGCAGCGGTCCGTCCGCTTGGGGTGGCTGGAAATGGCCCGGAAGATACAAGAGTGAATGAGACGATTTATCCTAGCCCCAGTCTCTTGATCTTCGCAGCACAGCATCCCAAAGTGCAAGACTCAAGAGATTGTATGAAATAACTGAAGGTCACCTCCTCCCTCCACCCAGCCTTTGTCCAAGCATAAGGAAACTGAAGGAAACCAAGGCTCAAAAGGTGCCTCACGGGTTCCATCTTCTCTGGCACCCCTGCCGCTGTGGCCACTGCCCAGCCACTGGCGCTCGTGCCATAGGCCACCGAGGCCACCACGCGGAAGCGATACTCCGCCTGAGCTGGAGTGACGACCAGCGAATGGCCGCCCACGTGGTTTCAGAGGGGTTTGTGTTCGGTTCCGATGTTGTACAGTGGGTTCTACAAGAAATTCTCAGCTGCGTCCCTCGACAATGAAGGGTTCCCCAAAAGTGTTTCTGAAAGGTGCACATCACAGCTTTTGAAGGAGTCGCAGTGGCCATTGAACATAAGGTGTGGGTCGAATGCCTGAAGGTTAATCGGATGGCCAGGTAGAAGGGAACCCAGGGCAAAACGTGCAGTCTTGTGGATGCATTTGAACATGAGGGGAGGTTACCAATGGCTGTTTCTGGATCTTTCAATGCATGGATCCTGCAAAGTTGTGCCGCGCTTATGCATTCTAAGGTCTACTGATTAGGAAAAGAAGTTCAGAATGAGGGGCTGGTTGTTTGGAGTTGGTACTACAAAATTTGAGATCAATTTGGGATCTCTCTTGGACTCTTGCAGAAAAGCCAGCTGACAACCTCTGACATCCCCTGGTTCCATCACCATCTTGGGATTCCACACCTCGGAGATCAAGTTGTCGACTTGATACTCCAGGTCATTTGGCGCCAGGCCACTGTAGCTCCTGACGGCGCGAGAAACTCGGCGCCATCGTGGCCGAGTGAAAGGGGCGTAAAGTGAACACACAAAAGACGAGGCTTTGACCCACTCAGAACGACGTACTCACCAACTTCCCACCAGATCCCACATCAACAAACTACCAATCGAGATCTTCCTTGCAGTGGTCTGACACTGAAACACCACCAATTAGGTGGAACCTCCCCACTTGGTGGAACCGAATGAAGAAGACCCACGAAACACCAAAGAAAACCATGCCCCAAAACGAATCTATTTCATGCGTGGTTTGGTCACCGCTATGCCGGTCAATTGCTGCTGTCCCAGCCCAGGTTTGATGGCTCTGATGCTAGAAAGATCGTGAATCTTCGATGGGGGTCTATCCTATATCCTATTCCCTGGGCCTCAGTGGATGATGGGGCCTGCATGGTTGCAGGCCTTTCCATCCCTGTCATTGCTTACCGACTGCAGTCCCAATCGAAGCACTTGGGCGCCGAACGTGGCGTGACCGGGGCCGTGCGGCACGCGACCGTGTCGGAGACTCGCCCTTTCCGGTGGCACCGGAAATGGGATCACCACTTTTGTTCGAGAAAATGGCACTTTGATCCTATACTATAGAGTCTTTATCAGCTGTTTTTATTTCCGGATCACTTGTATGATCAATTGCAAATGTTTACAAGGTCCTACTGTAGGAACCTAGTTACTCATTGTTCGCCGGTGAACCCGTGCGGTCTATTCTATTCGCGGGCAAGGCTCAGTAGGACCAGGCTTGCGTTCACTTCGCTGCTGCTGTTCAGAACTTCAGAGATCACTTCGTAGCCATGCACCGCACAAACAGGGCTGCCCACGCTGGCATTCCACCTGCGGCCGACGTGGTACCGAAGTGGAGAAGACCAGGCTCGCGGTGGAAGCCAGGGACAGTTCTTTTGGTGTTCGTTGCAGTGGTTTTCGGTCTGGTTGCAGAACACACCAACTCCAAACCCGTTCGTGGCAGTTGGTTTAAACACCAAACACTCCACGAGAAACTTCAGATCACGACAACAAATTATAGTAATTCTTTAATAGGTGCATGGGCCTCTTTGTTGGCCATGCTCTGTTTCACATTAGGATCTATTTCTAATCTCCCTATGCCTTTTTTTATTGAAACTCATCAAATTCCTCTATTCCTACATCTCATGAATCTGTATGCTTTCTGGTGTTTGGACGGGAAACAAGGCCGCACTCTTGCCGCTGCGCACCCGCATCGACGGGAAACTGACCAGGCCAAGCATGTTGCCACCTAAACAAACCTGAGATTCCATCAACATCCAAACCAAAGAGACGATTCCTTACAGCTCTTACTATTCATTGAGTTCCAGAACACTTTAAAAGAGAACACTTCATAAAGCTTCATGCGGACGCAGCTATCCAGCACAGGCACAGCTCATGCGATCCCTCCCGTTCGTTTTTTGTTGCGGAAAACTCGAAGTTCCGAAGCTTCGCACACCCGTAGGGATTTGAGTTGAGTACAGTAGGCTTCCAACAACCATTGTTTCAAAAAAGGTTTTGACCGAACAACCTGTGTTTCACGAATTTACACAACAACAGGTCAGCCTTTCTTTTAAAGGTCTTGGAAGGCTAGGGTGAGTAGACTTGGAGTCAACTTGAGTCCACCAGGTCTGGCCACGTGGGTGCGCCAGCCCGGTCTGGCAGCCGGCAGCGCCTCAAAATCAAAGACGTGGACGTGGACAGCCTCAGCACCTGGCGTGGCGGTCGCTCGAGCTCCGCTCGGAACGTGCTGAGACCGGAACGAACGTGCCGAGACCAGCCTCGTTCGTTGCAGGATTCCCAACCGACTTGCCCACCGAACTTCCCAAAGCTTGGAGGATTCCCACTGACTCTTTCGGCGTTGCCGAAAGAGGATGAGTTGGGCTTTTCCACCCCCCTTTTCGCTGGTTCACTCGGCCTCCCCTGATTTGGGGGTTCGGCTCCATCGCCGGTCAGCGAGTGCTGGTGGTTGTCTCCCGGTGGGCGCAGGGTCCCAAATGCGTGGCCTTTCTGTCTTCAGAGAAACAAAGTACGTGGATTGGATCAGCCCAGGGTGTGGTTGCGATTTTTGCATACAAACTTCACATCCGCACCACCACAAAGGCGGCAGTGAGATATTGAATATTGCAAGTGGCTCTGGGGGAGGCCCACCCCTTACGGTGTTTGGAGCTTTGGGTTTGGCATGGCCTTCTGTGGCCTTCTACAGGCCTCTGGCAAAAAGAAGATGCAATAAAAGGGACAAACCAATAAAGACAGACCAGAGGCAGTGACATAGTGCTCAGTGCTCCTCAAATAGATCAAATTGATTAGAAGTGGCGCAGTCCTCACCTGCCTTGGATGACCTCTCGTTCTTCATTTGGGGGGGGGTGTCTTCAAAAGAAAGCCCAGTACCGTTGAATTCCAATGTAAAGCCCACATTTTCTTGCGAAGTCCTTAGCCACCTCAGAGTGTCCTAGATGTTCTCTTTCAGAAGGTATCATCTCATCAGGGCTTTTTTCTCAGACCTTTCAATCTCTTTCCGTCACCATCCATCACCCTACCTTGGATTTGCTTCCGCAACCCGGAAAAACTCTAGCATCTTCCCCCCATGCCAGAAAACTACATTTATATACCCATCAACTACTATAGGGAACAGAACGAGACAAACTCAACTCCACTCCTCCTCCTCCTCCGCTCCCGCTCCTGCTCAACCGGATCCCACCTCCGGCGTGGGCGGCGCGTCGCAGGTCAAGGCGTCCACCTGCTGCCCCGGCGACTCGCCCGCCTGGGCGTCGCGGCGGAGCCATGGTGGAGCTGGACCGGTCGGTCTAGGGACAATGGTTTTTGGGACAATGGTTTTTGGGACACACATCTTCACATCTTGTGAACATGTTTTTAGTTTTTCTTTTTAAGGATGTGTGTGTGTGTGATGGTGTGTGTGAGTGTGTGTCGATCTGTGTGTTCTTGTTGGGTCGTGGCCTTAAGCTGGCAAGGGCACTCGAGGGCCCTGTGACCATTGAAATCGGTCGGTGTCTCAGGGCTCTGCAAAAACTGCAAAGTCTTGGAGGGGCAAGATGATGGATCTACGACGAGCAAAGAACAAAGCAACAAGCCAGGGTGGAAAATACACGGAAGTACCAACTACCCTCTAAAACGATTCAGCAAACTTTGAGCATCAATTTGAAAGCGAACAAACTATGCAACATTCACCGACCCGAGGTTTTTACTTGTGCTTGCCTGCAATCGGATCCTCAACAACAATGTGACACCTGTCTATTGCAAGTGCAACAGCAGTTTTAAGTCTTCCCAGACCCCAGGTCACCTCTTGATGATCCGTCGTCACAGGTCATGTAGACTCTTGATGAATAAACCCCCCATATGAAAGGATATGAAGGGGATTTTCCACTTCAAATGGGCGGGTGATTAATCAAGAGTCTACATTAGGTCCAGATCGATCCTCTACTTAGTTCTAAAAACCGCCCCCGCCTCGGTGGCGACGGTCACATTCACCCGGAACCATCGCCCAGTGGGCAGCGGGTGGAGGGAGAGCATCACCGTGTTGTTGGTCTCGTCGAGGGCCACCTGAACACACCGCGCACGCGCAGTCAGTGCGGTCAACGCTTCGCCGGTACGCTGCTTGACCGCGCTGTGCGAAACAGGCGAGGGGACATGTGATGTGTCGGGGGATCCATCCGTTGGGTGCGAGGATGTGTCGGTTCATGTTCTTGTTTCAGGTCTGCAAAGAAGCAAGCTGGTGTAATTACCTAACTATTCTCATACCTTTTTCTAGGTTGACCAAACAACTGTTCCATGGATCTTCATGATCACTGTGCATGCGATGGCATCTCTTACCACCGATCGCGAGTCAACCTGAAACACCGAAGGGACACCACCAAGTCCGCGCGGTTGCCTTTCTTTTAATTCGGACACATAGCATACCCGTTTGGGCTCCAGTCGCACCTTCGTTTCAAAGGTGCTTGGGGTGGGTGCCAGGAGGGTCCAAATACCTTCTGAGGAGGTACTTGGAGCCCTAGGGATACGCAAACCATAGCCAAACTAACATGTTTTCCCATCACAAGACAACAGTGGTTGAATGTCTGAATGACCCTTTCTTTCGCACAGGCTACAAAGCACTTGAGAGGTAACAAGGAGATGACTGGGTAAGCCGTACCTGGCATTATAAGTCGGTTTGAGGGAAGCAGGCTCTCATCAACTCCGCAACACCAGATTGTTTGAGAATGTAGCCTAAAGCGACCTTGCTCAAAATTCTAGCAAGCCAACCATGCTGTCACTGGCTTCTCCGTTCCTCAAACACCAATTCTAGCACGTTCCCCCCGTGCGGGCAGCACCAGGCATTCTTCCGCACGCGCCTCCTGTGCCGACACGTGCTTGTAGAAGGTGAGCTCACCACCCATGCCATTGTCCATGTAGATGTTGTAGCCCACCAAGGGTGCTCCATACAACTCGGGGTTCGGCCACTGCAGCGTGATCTGCTCCGCATCGGAGTTCAAGACCTCGGTGACGGAGGCGGCACAGCGAAGACCCCGCCACCACGAGAAACGGTGGTTGCTATCGGGTAAAAGGCTGCAGTTGGACCCGGTCATTTCTGCCCCAAGATCGCCAGGTTGCTATCATGTCAACCTCTTAGTTGATCATGTTGTAGCAACTGGAGGTTGTATATAGAACTAGGTCCTGGAAAGCTCCAATAAATAGGCTAAAACACCGGATGCAACGAGTCCTCATGTCGGTCCCTTGACCCTTGTTCGGGCGTTTGGTATCTGAATATGGTCTGGAGAATAGGTGAGGATCACAGTAGACGACAGTAGATGTATTTTGCAAGATCTCCATGTTGCTGGGAGAGTCCAAAGCATGGAACACCACCCACACTCCACACCTCCCATCACCTCACACTTCACACGTCATGTCCCATGAAAAATGGTCCCTGGTCATGCCAACTGTGTCCACACGTGTCACTGGGTCTCCAAACCGCCCATGGTTCGCCCCTTTGGCCTCCACTCCCTTTCCCCCTTGCTTCCTGCCGCACGCGCGCACCTCGAGGGCCGGCTGCGCGGGCAAGGGCGAGCAGTAGAAGGTCGCCGCGTCGGACCAGTAGCCGAGCCCCGTGGCGGTGCTCAAGCTCACGCGCCTCAAACGACGGAACGGAACGGCGACGACGACGGCGACGCGGGGCATCGTTCTACGAACGGAGCGTCTACGAACGTGTGTACTACCCAGACGCTCCGTTCACAGCCCTTGGGGTCCCTCAAAACCATAGGGTTTTGAGGGTCCAAACCCCTCCATATGAGGGTCCGACCATGTCAGACCCCTGCATATGGTCCAGGAGCGTCTGGGTAGATTTGGGTCGAGACGTCATGGAGGCGCACGTCGGGGCGTCGAGGCGGGTGCTGGTGACGACGTGGGGGTTCTTGGGTTAGCAGTGCTGGTGGTTGGTGTGAGAGAGAAAGCATGAGAAAACCTATGGACTCGTGGAAGTGAAGGTGGATGATTTGAGAAGTGGTCTGTCTTGAAGGGGTTGTGCTGTCGAAGGTATCCTATGATATCCTATAGCCTTTGCGCCAGTCATCTAAGCTGGGCACAGAAAAAGAAGCAAACAAACAAAAAACCGAGACATCTCCAACGAGACTGCTTGATAAGCCAACAACAAGCGACGACGAAAAAAAAAACTCCGCCAGGTGAACCGCCTGCGTAGCGGTAGGTAGACTGATGCACTGGTCACTCCACTCCGGTCACTCCATCGATCTTGCAGCAACTTGCCGTGCCAATTTTAGACCGAACACACAGCACGGCACCCGTTGTCCATGTTCACGCCGAGCATCGCATAAACAAAGTTGTAGCTCTGGTCCACAATGGCGGGATCACCATTGCCGTCCTGGGCAATAGAGAGACCCCGCGAACCCACAGGACCACCGGAAGAGAACCACAGGATCGCTACTGGTTGGCAGATTCGTGGCTTTTTGCCATTTGGCATCGATGAATTGACTGCGAATTGCGCGAATTGAAGCAGATCCGGTATTTCAAACCTTAAACGACGTCTTAAAATAGTGGATCCTCCGTTATGAACGCCTGGTGTGTTTGAAGGTGTTTCAATCAAAAATGGCCAAATGGCTGAGGAACCACCAGCTGACTGGCCATGCGTAGTCTTTGCTCAAGGCTTTCTAACACATACTTGGAAGCACTAGGCACCACCCATGCTCCGACACTTGTCGTCCGTTTCGGCGGTGTCTTTTTTCCCCATCCTTCCCAACCCCTTTCCCCACCCCCTTTTCATCACCTTTCCCTTTGGTCCAAGCAGAGGCTCCAGCTGCGTATAGTCCGGCGTCCGACTGCAGTCGTGCTCGAAGATCCAACTGTCGGCCACCGCCCAGGGCGTGGCTGGCCAGGCACGGTCGTCGGCGGTGAGGTACACGTTGTAGCCCGGCCGTTCGCCTCCGGGGAGGCTGAAGTCGTCGGCTTGCCATGGGGCCAGGTGCCCTGGAGCCATTCCGAATCGGCTGAGGATGGCATACCCATCTTCTAAGGATGACATACCCATCTTGCCCTGACATGGGCCATGAAAGGCACGACTTGCTTTTCAGGAAACCCCATCGACATGCCCAAACCGATCTCGATCCCAGTCACCAGGGATGGGTTTGGCCATTTCTTCGAAGTGTGCGTGGACCAAACACCTGTGTGGCGGGATTGATCACCTACCTTCCTACAAAAATTCGATTTGGCAGACCACTTCCTTAAATAAACATGATTCTTAGCCTCCTTAAGTGGCTCCATTGCACATCCGACAAGAAAAATCCCTCAGGGCAATCCCCACCACGCGAACGTACCCAAACTGAGCGATCTGAGCCTCGAGGGGATCACAGTCGTCGGGAGTTTTGACCATTGAATCTGGCCCCCCCACCTCGTCTTCCCTGCCCGGAAGAGAGAATCATCTGGAACTTCACTTCCCTATGTCGCTGCCGTCGCGTCCGCCGCTCAGGACGGCCTTCCGGCCATTCTCGATCACTCAAGTTGGAGAGGCTCAGCTGCAAGAAACTGCCATCGGAGGACAAGTAGCTGGGCGGCGGCAAAAGCACCACTGAGCCGGTGCTCATATTGCCTCAGCAGGCACTCAGTCAGGATGGTGACTCCAAAACAAAGCGGCACCGGGAGAGCCCTCATTTTGGGGATGTGATGCATGCTTTGGAAGCAGGAACTAAATCTAATAGCCTCCCAAAATGATGAACAAGCAGCAGCTGAAACTGTTGCATATGTGAAGCTCCAAGGTGAAACCACCACAGCCCCTCTTCGAATGTTCGAAACGTTGGTGTTGTCATTTTGCATTATGTTTCCATATATTTTTCTATACCTGCTGACCGGTCTTTTCCACACACCGCGGATGGACGCGGATGGTCCTTGTTTAACCGGCGGTGGAATCGAACAAAGCCGTGCAGTGGCGACAGGAAGCTTGAAGGAATGCTTCCTTCTGCTACACGTTCGCAAGTCAACTATGATAGGACCGGGTAACCCCACATGTTAACAACTTTACCAGAGACCACCTCTGTAGCAAGAAGAAGCAGCAGCGCAGTGAGAAAAGAGGGGTTCGAGGAAGGAAGAGAGTGAGCGAGCGTTGGTGGGGCTGGTGGTTGTTGGTTGGTGGTTGTTGGTTAGAAGAAGTTGATGGCGCTGGTGGTTGTTGGTTGGTGGCTGTTGGTTGGAAATTGGTGGTTTGTCTCATTGTGTCTGCGTGTATGTACATGCGTGCGTGCATCTGAATGGTGGTGGAGTGCGCAGGTGATGGATCACGTACGTATACGTAGAGTCTGTGCCTCTGAAAATACCCAAACTCTCCATGGGACTGCCCCATTGCCCCCCCAAAACGTCTGCGGATTGCGCATCAGCCTGTGAAGATGTGATTCGCAGGCGCTCTACTCTCCTCACCCCAAACCACATCCTCATCCATCCTGAGACCCTTCGGCGCCCCCGTTCTCGGCACCTCCTTGGCCTCCTCCACAGCCTGGAGATGCGCCTTCTGGAGGTGAGTGGTTGTCAGATCTGTCGTCTACGTGCAACCTAGAGAAATATAGAGGTGGGAGGTTGCATAACAAAATAGAGGTGAAATTAGTATATTTCTCACCTCAGCCGCAGGGGTGGGCTGCGTTTTCATTTTTTGCGTCATGCAACCTCTCACCGGCGAGTATGGGCGAGTGGGCTGTGGAGACGGAGAGCAGCCCGTTGAGTAGCGATGGCTCCAAAACCAGAAACCCGAAAGATGCGTCCCTGAATAGCCCCATTCGACCAGCGCAATTTCACACCGTTTTCATGCCCTTTTGAATGCCCTGTTCCTGCCCTTTCATACATATTTCATACCCTTTGCATACGCTTCTCATACCCATCTCATACTCTTTTCATGCCCGATTCAATCGTGAAAAGGTTGGAGGGGGTATCAAAAAACTACGAAAAGAGTATGAAAATGGCTTTGTGAAAAGGGTATGAAAAGGGCATGAAACGTGTATGAAAAGGGTGTGAAAAGGGTATGAAGAGGATATGCAAAGGGCATGGAAAGGGTATGAAAAGGGCATGAAAAGGGTACGAAAAGAAGGATATGACAAGGGCATGAAAAGGGCATGTAAAGGGTATGAAAAGGAAATAGAACGGGTGAAAAGGGCATGGTAAGCGTATGAAAAGGATACGAAAAGGGCAAGAAAAGGGTATGAAAAGAGTGTGGAAAGGGTATGAGAAAGAGGTTGGAGGCCATCTAGGGTGGAGTCCATCGCTCTTAGGTAGGAAAGCCATGCAATTTGGTTGGGGGCAGGCCATCCCTATTATATAGGTTGGAGGGGTATCAATCGGGCATGAAAAGGGTATGGCAAGGTTATGACAAGGGGATGAAAAGGTGATGAAAAGGGTGTGAAAAGGGTATGAAAAGGGTGTGAAAAGGGTGTGAAAAGGGTGTGAAAAGGGTATGAAAAGGGTATGGCGCAGGTGTGACAAGGGTATGACAAGGGTATGAAAAGGATATGAAAAGGGCAGGCAAGGGTATGAAGGGGATATGAAAAGGGCAAGAAAAGCGTATGAAACCCTTTTCGTATCCTGGTCATACCCTTTTCATGCCCTTGTCATACCCTTTTCATACCCTTTTCATAAACACCTGGGTCAGGACTCGCGTCCGCGGATGTGTGACTTGCTGTTGGTCATTTGAATCGGGTACAACCATAGCAGGCAGGAAAGCCACATGTCACATCTACATCTAGACTGGTCTGTGATGCTACTGGGACAGGGTAAAGTAAGTATACTCTCAACACGTCGTAATGATCACAGAACTGGGGCGAGTGGCCTGTTGCTGAAATTGGCTGCTGTGCCTCTGCGTCCCCAGAAGCATCGGGCATCTTTGTTGTATGTAAACAGATCCCATCCCTTTTTTGGGGCGCCCAAAGACCCAAAGATCTAGCAAATCGCCAAACCAACAACATCCAAAAAACAGTGACAAAGCGAGAAAACTTCGGAGAACGGGAGGTAACCTCAAATTTGCAAAAAGCGTTTATATAATCCTTGTACCTCAGCTTTACAATCAATCTCCGCTGTGGCCCGCTTCATCCGCTACTGTGGCTGCACATTGGCCGTCGACTGCACACACAAATGGGTGTGGATCTGTGGCTCATATAGTGTCATGGTGGCTCAAACGGATCCTGATATTCCGTTCTCAACTGTCCGCTTCCAAACTGTCTTTTTGCTGTTGAGGTGAAACTTCTTGAAATTGTTGCCAGATTAGAGCAGATGGCCTGTGACGCCAAGTGTTCCCTTGGCCAGCCGAGTCAACCGGACTTGTGCCGGGACTCAGGCCCTGGACCAAGCCTAAGCACGGCCTGTGTCATGGCCATCGCCTCAAATAGCGAATGTCCAGACCTGAAGGAATGAGCGTGAGGCGCAGGAATCAGATCAAATGCCAAAAAACCATTGGAAAAAAGGCATTTCCTGCAAACGGGTCCTGATATTCCTCATCCTTGCGGAGTTTGACGTAAAACGTTGACATGACCAAAAGCCACATCAGTTTGGGAGGCTGAGGGCTGCATCACCCCAAAACCGTGCCGCCTTCAGATATGGCTCATAGCAATTTTTCAAAAGAAGTGGCAACACTGAGAACAAGATGGCCTGGCCTGGGATATGTTCCCATGATGCCAGGCAGGCTGAGAGGGCCGGAGGCCATTGCCACCAGGCGGGAGGCCACCGCCACAAAGCCCCCACGACGCCAAGCGCCCCCGCAGCCAGCCACCCCTGACAAATCCACTCTCACCACCCGATCATCTTCTTGGCGACTGATTCATGATATGTTTCACTTGGGGAGCCATCAGGGGCGCTGGTACTGAAACTTTCTTTCAAATGCTACCAATAAACTATTTGGATACCCAAGGATGGCCAAACATCTTGCTTCAGGGAATGCGTAGCTATGGCATCGCGAAGGAAAACTTGAGGCCAGAGGGGGTGAACGAAAGCTAGCCGGGCCGGGTCGTCTGCTGCTACTGCTGCTGCTGGCGCTGGGTGGTCTGCTGCTGCTGCGGCGGTGGGTGCTCTGCTACTGCTGCTGCGGCGCTGGTTGGTATGCTGCTGCTGCTGCTGCTGCCGCTGGGTGGTCTGCTGCTGCTGCTGCTGCTGCCGCTGCTGCGCTGGGCGCTGCTGCGCTGGGTGCTCTGCTGGCGCCGGGTCGTCTGCTGCTGCTGCTGCTGCTGCTGCTTGGTGGTAGACTGCAGATGCTTGGTGTGCTGCAGCTGCTTGGTGGTCCCGCTCACCGCGCGCAGGGGGGAGTCGAACCGCGGGGGGGGGGGGGGGTCCATAAGATTGATTTAATCAATTATTTGAGGTTTCTGAGGTGCGTCCACCCCGTCACTTAACTTGCTAAAGCAAGAGCAACTCCAGCTAGCTAAGGCTAGCTTTCGTGACAACCATGCACTACGAGTGAGGCCTGTGCTTGGGCTGGTGGAAGGGAGGGCTGGAACGTGGTGAATCACCTCCTGAGCGTGTGTTTGGGATTTTTAGGGACACCTGGTCATGGCGCATTCTATCAATCCTCGGCGTGTGGAGGGTCAGAGCTCGACCTCGAACCTCGGAACGACCAGGACCTCCTTGGCAAAGGGTCTACTGTATAGAAGCACTAGGCAGTGAAACATATGCGATGCTTTGCGCAGGCTCGCAACACCAGCGCCAGAAGCGAGCACCCTGTCTCCAGCCAGCTCACAGCACCAGCACCAGCACCAGCACCCGGCACCCAGCACCGGCGCCATGTCTCCACCACGTGAAGAGCCAGCTCACAGCACCAGCGCCAGCGCCGGCCACCACGTGCACAGCCAGCTCACAGCAGCCGGCGCCCGACACCCTGTCTCCACCACGCGCGCAGCCAGGACTCAGCACCGGCGCCGGCAACCCAGCACCGGCACCGGCACCCTGTCTCCACCAAGTGCACAGCCAGCTCACAGCTCCGGCACCCGCCGCCCAGCACCCAGCACCGGCACTGTGACAGCAATGCGCGGTTGGGTTGGTTGGTTGGTTGGTGGGTGGGTGGGTGGGCGGGTGGGTGGGTGGGTTGGTGGTTGGTGGTGGTGGTGGTGGGTGGTTATAGTTGGTTGATTCCAAATGCTGCGCCTGCCACGCAAATCACAGCGGCACAGAGGCGGCGACCCAGGAGGCCCAGGTGCTGGAATGGATTGGGTGCTAGGGAGGGGCTGGGGTGAGAATGGATGGATTCTGTGCTTCGGGGTCCCCACACTGGCCGATGATCACCAAAACATGGATCGAGTTGCCCCACTGAAGCATAACATAGACCCTGGAAACCACTGTTTTTGGAGGAAAACAATCTTTGAGGGTGCCGCTCAGGGTCCACGTTAGTTTTCGGGAGTATATATAGCCGAGTCAGTGGCCGAAGTGTTCTAAATTAGATTGGAGCTCAGCAAACGCAATTACTGTAGTGTAAATGCAGAAATTCTTCGGATGAGATCCGGCTAGGGTTCCACGCCTTTGCTTTCTGCACCACCTGCTCGTGCCTACTGGAATCCAGCCAAACCACTGCAAGGGGAGTCGGGGTACATCGAAGATGATTTGTTGAACCATGTCGAACCACTCCCCCAT